GGTCATGTGACCTTGGGCACGACCTGTGTCCCCCTCTCTGGGCCTCACCTGTCACATCCCTGCTGCAGGTGCCGACCCCGTGGCGGCGTGTTCACGAAAAGGATCAGAACAACTACCCCATAGATAGCGTGTATCATGTGTGCGAGGCAGCATTGTGGGTGCTCCGCCCACATGTTTATCCCGACGTGAATATTACATGGGAGGAGGTTGGAGCCATCCCCAGCAGGAGTCAGTTCCCAGGCCGCCCTCCCGACAGGTGTGCGGTGATCACACCTGCGGTGCTGATTTGCATAATGACTTCCCAGTGCTCTGAAGAGTCTGAGAGAAATACCTTCACCGCGCTGAGCCATAAAGACATTTACGCCCCAACCAGCAGGACAGAGGCACTTGTATCCGCCAACGAGGATCTGTTCAGCGAGCGTCTGATGATCTGCGTTGGCGTGTTCACAGCAGCTGCTGGACGGCACCCACATGAACACGGAGAGACCAGGGCTGGAAGGAGTGCTCTTTGCCATGTGCATTTCCAGAGCAACGTGCGGACCGTGCAAATCCCTGTGATGTCAGCGTGGAGGACGCGCGGCCCTCCCTCCAGGCAGGGCCTGGTGCAGGCGGAGCCCCGGGCTGGGCGGGAAGTGCCCCCGGGACTCCAGTCAGGATGTGTGAAGGCCGTGTACGGGGCGGTCGGCAAAGAGGCTGCACTCTGGCCGTGTGGATCCCTCACAGGGCACGGGGTGAAAATGCAGCGATGGAGGCATTTAATGCGGATTCCCCGTTCTCTGCATCATGTTCGGGTTTCATTTTATAAAAGCCGTGCCTAATTGACGCCCCTGGAAAGTGTGCCTCTCCAGGAATTGCCTGTTTCTTAGGTCTGTTTATACCCGTCCTGGTTGTGTTTGCCACCTGCCATGTGGGGGTGGAGCAGTCCCCGGGTGGCATCCAGGAATAGGAATAGCAAGTGTATGGCAGGGACACGTGGGTGGGGAGTTCTTGATGCTTTTCTGAAATTACAATCGTCTTTACCTTTAAAATATATATATTTTTATTGATTTCAGAGAAGAAGGGAGAGGGAGAGATAGAAACATCGGTGATGAGAGAGAATCAGTGATGGGCTGCCTCCTGTACGCCCCTTACTGGGGCTCGAGCCTGCAACCTGGGCACATGCCCCGACTGGGAATTGAACCGTGACCTCCTGGTTCAAAGGCCCACGTTCCACCACTGAACCACACTGGCCAGCTCCTTTACCTTTTAAAGGCAGCATCCCGTCTTTCCTTGGTGCAGGCAGGGGCCAGGGAGAGACAGTGAGTTCAGGCTGCCCAGCCTCTAGCCTGTCCCCCTGGCTCTGCGTCCCGGAGCGAGCCCCTCTCTCCTGCCCACACCTCCGGCAAGTCTGAGCCGCACCCGCCCCGGCCCCCCCCCCCCCCAGCCCCCCAGGCCCACTGCGGCCCTCTCAGATCAGGGTTGAGGGGGGCTGTTGAAATTTCCAAGAGTCAAAACCAGGGGGAAAGACTAAACACTGAGACCAGAACTTCTAGCCTTGGGCCCCTGTCGCCAACATCGACCTTGAGCCCAGCCCGCGGCCCCACAGGCGGCCCGCTCCCCGCTCTGCGGTGGGAGTTCCCGTAGATTTATTACAACGACTATTGGAAATGGCCACAGGCACAGCCCCACTCTCCCTTCCCCCGAAGCGAAAAGCAGACACAATGGGGAGGACTGTGTTTGCCGCCCTGAGCGTGCATGCGGCTGTGACACGGGCCTGGAGGCAGCCGCATGGGGAAGCTTCAGGCGGTGAATTATGTCTTGTGGTCACAGCACAAAAACAAACGAACCTCACTGAAACGGCCCCGACTTTAAATACTTGCGCACGGTTTTGGAAAGCTCGGGGCAGTGCGACTTGTCACCTCTGTTTTAAAGCCGTGGGAAAACTACTGTGACCCATGCCCAGAGCACGTGTCCTCGGATAACGGGAATGCAACTGTTAAGAGTGAGAAGAAAATTAAAGCATTGGTCTGCAGGGTCCTATTTCTGTGACCCCATCCATCTCTCTGACCTTTCACCTATTAGGTGGGTAACTGCCTTGTTGGAGGAGAAAGAACTTAGGGTGCCTGGTATACAGCAGGCGCTCAATCACAATGGCACGGCCCAGCTGGTGTGGCTCAGGGTTGAGCATTGACCTAGGGACCAGGAGGTCACGGTTTGATTCCTAGACAGGGCACACGCCCAGGTGACGGGCTCGATTCCCAGTGTGGGGCGTGCAGGAGGCAGTTGATCCATGTTTCTCTCTCATCATGGATGTTTCTCTCTCTCTCTCTCTCTCTTCCTTACTCTTTGAAATCAATAAAAGTATTTTTTAAACAATGGCCTGGATGGCCGAGTGCATGAAGGACTAGGAACAGTCTCCCCCTGGCCATTAGGGTTGTCACCCGAGGTTTGCCCCTCACCTGAGTCACATCCAGTTCCCTGTCGCTCACTCCCCTAGTAACTCTCTCTCCTTGAGACAAACAGACCCAAACATACCCTCCCCTCCGCGCAACGGATGGAATTTTCCGAAGGGATAGGAAACCAAGGCCGAAGCGAAGACACTCGGTGTTTTGACACTAGGATGGGTCTTTCGGAGATAAACGTGGGAAGCCAGGAAAAACGGCATCAGGAGGAAATAATGCGTGTGGAGGCCTCGCCATGGGAACGCAGACCGTTACTGTTTTTACATCTCCTTCGTGTTAGTACAGCTGCGAGGCGGCCTCGGAGCTGGGCGGGGTGTTTCCAGGCCCGTGGTCCAGCCTCAGGCCTGGGTGGCCCCGACGGCAGCCTCCATCCACGGACACAGACGGCCCCTCACCCACGGCCGGCCCAGAGCTCCCGCCCTCAGCACCGGGCACGCGAGCCAGTGGCGCTGGGAACAGACGTACCTTTTCCAAGTCCCAGATGCCGAGGGGATTCTCTCTGCCCCTCCTGGGCACTCCCCCGCTGTGGCCTTGGGCTCTGGAATGACCTTCTGCATCCCACCCCAGCCCCGCGCCACCCAGAGCGGGCCCTCCTGCCTTGGCTGGCCGTGACCTTCTCAGACATGAAGGTCAAGTCCATGCCGGTGGCTGGCACATCCCCCACTAGTGAAGTTTGGAGGACACCCACACACCCTCAGGCCTCGGACACGGGGAGGAAGTTTAAAATCCAGGGGAGCCTCCGGGTGTTCTGGGAAAATGGAAAAGCACGCGTAGGGTTGAGGGTGAGAGGCCATGTCTAGAAAGCCACCTGGGGAGACATAACCCGACCATGAAGAGGCCTCTGCAGCGGTCCTGGGTTCGCCGCCCGTGGGTGACCCTCTCAGAAGGATTTTACCTGTTTTTCTGTTTCCTGGTTAAGCTGGATTTTCTATTTGGAGTTTCCTTATTAATAGGAGTTATACCAAATATTTAATAAGATTGTACCAAAAAATTCAAGTTTTTTGAATCTCAAAAAATTCCCTGTTGCCGAAACCGGTGTGGCTCAGTGGATGGAGCATTGGGCCTGCGGACTGAAAGGTCCCAGGTTCGATTCCGATCAAGGGCATGGACCTTGGCTGCGGGCACATCCAGTGGGGAGTGTGCAGGAGGCAGCTGGTCGATGTTTCTCTCATCAATGTTTCTAGCTCTCTATCCCTCTCCCTTCCTCTCTGTAAAACACCAATACAAAATATATATATATATATATATATATATATATATATATATATATTTTTTTTTTTTTTTTTTTTTTTTTTATTTTTATTTTTTTTAATTTCCTGTTTTATTTTTCCAGCAAGGCAGGCAGTCCTTATCCTAATGGCCCTGGCTGCCTTAGTCACACACTCCTGGGAGCTGGCCCCGAGGCCAGCAGCTGAGCCCTCTGCATCCTCACAGCTTGTCCCCCCACCCAGGGTCCCAGAGGGCTTCCTCCCAGGGTGCCCCCCCCTGCACCCCAGCCTGCCTGGGGCACTGAGCTTAGGACACGGTGAGGCTCCAAGTCCCTACGTACAGACAGGCGTGAAATCGGAATGGGAAGTTCCACCGAGGACGGTGCTCGGAGGTTCTGAGAAAGAGGAAGTTGGTTCCGAGCTGAGCCTGGCGGAGGGAGGGCACCGGCGTCCGTCCGGCATCTGTCTGCGCGGCCTGTTTACTGTCGCGCAGCGAGGGCAGGCGGCGGTTCGCCGTTGTCTGCACGTGTTCCCTGTCCGTTGTTGCAGATGGAGGTCTGATGTGACGGTTTCAGGAGGAGCCGCTGGAGAAAGGGAAGCCAGGTGGCAGCCTCGCTCCCATGCGCCCGCTCCCGGCTGGGCCCGCTCCTGGCTGGGCCCGCTCCTGGCTGGGCCCGCTCCCGGCTGGGCCTGAGCCTGGGCACCTCAGAGGGACTGCCACAATAGACAGGGTTCCTCCGGGTTCGGGATCTGGAAACCGGGAGCCCACGGTCAAGTTGCCAGGCGGGCTGTGAGCTGGGAGTGCCCTCTCCTCGGGTTGCACAGGGCCATCTTCTCGTAGGATGGAGCGAGCTCTCTGGTCTCCTGTCTTCCTCATAAGGACACACGAGTCCAATGTGTTGGCGTCACCCTCGCATCTTCATCTGAACTTCATTAAGAGGGTGTGGCTCAGTGGTTGAGCATCAACCAGGACCCAGGAGGTGGTGGTTCAGTTCCTGGTCAGGGCACACGCCTGGGTTGGGAGGCATCTCTTATCATTGATGTTTCTCTCTCTCTTCCCTCTCCTTTCCTCTCTGAAATCAATGAAATATATATTTTTTAAAAAGAAAAGAAAACAAGAAAGAAGGGCCCCGTCTGTAAATGTCATCGCTTTGAGCATTAGGACATCAGCCTATGGACTTTGGGGGACACCCTCCGTCCCTGGCGGGCCCCGAATTTTCCTGTTGCGTCCCCTCCTTCCTCCCCCGTCACCGTCGCTCGCCTTCCCGCTTCCCTGTCCCGGGGCAGGGCCGGGCCGGGCGGCGTGGGGCCCGTTGCCACAGTAATGGAGCAATGTCTCTTTCCCCACCAGAAACTCGCCCGAGGAGTGCAGTGTGGCGAAAGGCGGGAAGATGGTGGGCAGCCCGGAGGTGGGCATGAGCTACGGCAGCTACCTGGAGGAGAAGCACCTGCCGCCCCCCAACATGACCACGAGCGAGCGCAGGGTCATCGTCCCCGCAGGTGAGGCGCCCTTCCCGGGGCCCCCCGAGCGGTCCTTCCCGCCCTGGGCCCACCTCCGCCCTGGTCTACAGCGGGGGGTGTACATGGGAGCCAGCAGGCGCTCGTGCACATACAGTGAAATGCTCACCGGTGTGTGTGTGTGTATGCGTGTGTGTGTGCCCGCACACGTGTGTGTGTGTGTGTGTGTGTGTGTGAGAGAGAGAGAGAGAGAGAGAGAGAGAGGGAGAGAGAGAGACAACGTCCATGGAAGTGAGCTTCAGGTAGGAGTTGCCCTCTCCCTATAATTGTGTGGTGTTACAGATTCTTCCTTTTATGACGAGCTGTTTATAACAGGCGGTGGCCTTGCTGGCTGTTCACAAGTTGTCTCTCTACCTGGGAAAACTGACAGTCGGGAGCAGTGTGCTGCCCATAGAGTCTAAATGGCAGCGCTCACCGGCCCACGTACAGATCCCAGAACCGAAGGACGCCTTCCCCTCGGAATTCATTCCCAGCCCGGCCCAGAGCACGGCTGGGTTTGAGGCGCATGCCAGGAACTTACTTACTTAGCGAAACTAAAGGTGATAGGACGGAGGGCTTGGAGCTCCCGGGAGGAACCGGGTGCCGTAAACCTAGAACCTCCACAACGGCAGCCTCGGCGTCCGTCCCCCCCTGCCCGGTGGGCCTCGCTCTGCCTCTGCGCAGGGCGTTTCCTTAGCGATGGGGACGCAGCAGCTCACATCGTCCTGGGAAACGGGTATCTTATCCCGATTTTCCCGGGAGGGCAAGGAGAGGAAAGGAAGGCCTGAGAGGTCGGCTGGCTTCTGCCGGGCTAACAGCTCCGTAGAGACCACATTGGGATGTGAACAGATCTGCCCGAACGCCCCTTCTCTCCCGTCCTGACAGCAGCCCTGTGGGCTCCTCCCGTCACCCACTCCAGCCATCTGGTCACCCTGCCGCTCTGCCCAAAGGCCTGCCCTTGCTGTCCGCTCAGCCGGAGACCCTGGGTTCCAGGTGGTCTGTCCTTCCTGTGCACACACCTCCTCAGAGGGGCCCTTCCTGGAAACCCCATTTGCTACTCCCACTGCACCCCGGGACTCTGCCCCGCTCCCCCATTTTTCTTTAGTTTATTAGTTCCTGTCTGTCAGCACAGTGCGCTGAGGCGGACGTTTGCTTATGTCCTTCCTCCCTGCAGGCAGCATCAGCCCCACGGAGGCCCGTCTCGTGGTCCGGGCAGTGCCTGTGCCTGGCAGGCCGGCGGTGGGAGGTGAATGCTGCTGAGGGAAGTGAGTGATGGAGAAAGCCCGCCTCCTGGCTACTCTCTGTGGCCATGGCAGGCCCTGAGCGGGATGCCGGGGCGATGTTTGTGCAGACTGAGCCGTCCCTCCGCCAGGGCAGTGTGGCGGCAGGCAGGTCCCAGTCCCTTCCGTGGAACGACCCCCACCCCTTACTCTGCAGAAGCTCACGTCCAGTGGGACTCTATCTCCTTCCCGACAGGAGAGTGGAGGGTGCAGAGCACTCGGCCGTGGGATCGTGGGCTCGGTTTCTCTGCAGGCTTGTTGCCAGGTGGCTCTTGGTAAACTAAGAAGCCGATGTGGCACAGGTGGGGTGGAAAGGATCGCCCCTCGGGGGCCAACCCTGACCTTGAAGGGCCTCGTAAGAGTCTCGTAGGACTCCTGTGCCCTCGGCGAGGGTCACACAGGTTTGATGATGATGGGTGCACCGTGGACAGTTACATGGATGCCGTGTGTTTGGTTTGATCGTGGCCGCTGAGGTGCACACCCATGTGGTGTCTCCTGACCCTGTGCGTTAGGCCAGGAGGCGTTTCCTTTCGAACCGGGGAAATACAGAAACCGACAGGCCGCAGGTTGTGGACAGAATGAGGTGGAAACCCAGGGGACTCCCTCCTAGGCCCATCTCACCTTCTCTACCTCCTCAAGAACAGAATGAGGTGGAAACCCAGGGGACTCCCTCCTAGGCCCATCTCACCTTCTCTACCTCCTCAAGAACAGAATTACTTCTGTGTAGGCAGAGCAAAACTATTCCATTTCTAAGATGAGAGAATCCATCCGAAGAAAGGTCTGCATTGACAGTTCTTGTCTTGCCGGCCAGTGTGGCTCAGTGGTTGAGCGTCCACCTGTGAACCAAGAGATCACTGGTTCAATTCCCGGTCAGGGCACATGACTGGGGAACAGGCGTGATTCCCCAGGAGGGGGCATGCAGGGGGCAGCCAGTCAATTCATGTTTCGCTCCATCGATGTTTCTATCACTGATCCCTCTCCCTCTCTCTCTGAAAATCAATGAAGATATTTTTTTAAAAAGAAAAAAGAAAATTCTTGTCTTGGTTCCTCATGGAATCGCAGGCCCAGGAGGTAACCTGGCGCCACTTCCGTCCTTCCCCAGCGAGGCCAGAGTCCTGTGCCGCCATCGCTGTGCTTTGACACCATCCATACCCTCTCCGATGGCCCGGCCTGAGGCTTTCTTCGCTGAGTGCCACGTTTAGAACATAGGAGGGATGTTCACACGGAAAAGTGGCAAAGAGCCAGTTCAATCAGGTCTGAGCGCCCGCCATTCCTGGCCCATCGCCGGACCGGCGGGCGGGCAGAGGGCTGGCCGGCAGGTTGGCTCAGAGCGTTTGGTAAAGGCGGTTTCAGCCCCTGAGGCAAGGCCTCTTTCAGGGCTCCCGCCTGGGTTGCTTCATGCGAGCGCGGGCAGTTATTCAGTTAATGGTGTTTGTAAGAGAGTGAATTGTGGCCGGTTTTGCAAGTTGTGTCTTTCAGTTATTGGTCAAGCGTCATGTATCTGGGCTCATACACAGACACACAGATGGACATGCGTGCACGCACACACACAGCTGCATTTGCATAGTCCGGATCATCCCCCAACGAGGCCCTGAGGTTGTAGGATCTGAGGCCACCCTGTCAGCTGCTGCACCTGCACCTGCACCTGCACCTGCACCCCAGCCTGCACCCGCACCCCAGCCTGCACCCACACCCCAATCTGCACCTGCACCCCCACCTGCACCCCCACCACCAACCCACCTCAGCCGCACCTGCACCCCTACCCACTACGCACCCCTACCGCACCCCACCTCACCCCCCACCTGCACCCCACCCCCCACCCCTGCACCCCCCACCTGCACCCCCACCTGCACTCCCACCCCCACTGCACCCACACCTGCACCTCCACCTGCACCCCCTCCTGCACCCCCACCCTGCACCCCCACCTGCACCCCCTCCTGCACCTGCACCCTCGCCCCAGGATCCAGGCTGCCCTCGGGCACAGTTGGGCAGGGGGCGCTCTGCATACGGAGATAGAATTCTCCAGCCCTGGGGGTCCAGGTGGCTAATGTGGGTTGTGCTAGTCAGATGCTTTAGCACTAGGTGTGCACGTCAGAAAGACAGCTGGAAAGAAAAGGTTATTTCTAAGCATTTGTACCGTCAAGCAGCTACATGCCGATATTCCTGCCCCAGGCCTGATATGCTTTGGCCAGAAGAGCGGCAGGTAGACAAGGCGGCACAGAACAGCCCGGGCCTGGTCTGCACTCAGAGGGCGTTCTTCTAAGTGGACCCCTCCCTTCTCAGCGCCCCGCCTCTGATGCCGCCTTTAACTCCAGCGGTGACGCGGTGTTATTTGGCTCCCAGGTGCCCCGGGCCCTGCACAGGGACTCGGGGCTCAGGGTCCACAAGGGAACTGACGGGGGAAAGGTGAAGCCCGGCTATTAACTGAGTCCAGAGAGAAATGTGTTCCTGGGCTTGTTACAGGGAGATACAGGAAAGGCAGAGAAAAGCCCTCAGTGGCGGGGCCGCCAGGCATGGTGGGCTGCCTGGCTCAGGCCTGGTGCCTGGGCACACTGGTTGGGTGGTGCCTCAGAGCATACTAATCACATCTGCACTTCCAATCTGCCTGCCTGTGTGCCATCTACTGTCTGTCTTTCCATGTGTCTATCATCTGTCTATCTACCATCTGTCAGCTCTCTAGCATCTGCCTGTGGCTCTGTACCATCTGTCTGTCACTGGTCTGTCTGTCTGTCTCTCTGGCGTGTATATCTGTATGTCTAGGTCTGCATCTCATGGGTTGGCTCTTCCTGGCACAGATGTACCTCACAGTGGCTTTCTGTGACTTCGATCTTAGTCAGAGGGGCCCAGGCCTGTGCCGGGTAACGGCTCCCGGTGCCTCTGTTGGGTTGCAGCCCGGCCAGGGACTGTTTCCCGGGTCTGCTCCAGCCACGGCCCCAAGGAACACTGGGAGCTGTGATTTAAGAATGGCGCTTCCAGACTTTCTGCCTCCAGGTGGGAGGTGAGGGCCCTGCCCTGTTCACACGCTCCTGGGTGGGTTTCCCACATCATAAAGTGTGAGGGCCTCTGGTCTGGACAGAAGACACCACGTAAAGTTGGCCTCCATCCGTGTTCATTATTCTCGATAAAGGCCCACTCTGTCCCTTTCGGAGGAGGGGGCGGCACGAAGGAAGCCTGGGAAGCAGCCGTCTCCCAGGGACACTCCAGAGTCGTCGTCATCATCATCCCCCCTTCGGTGGGAGGGAACTTGGCCTTCCTAACGCCGCTCCCTCGCGCTGTGGTTGGAGTCATTGGTAGGCACGGTCACTTGGGTAAAGGCCATGGGGCAAGGCACTCCCAGGGACACCGGGACCAGAACGCAGCTTGAGCACCGAGGGTACCTCGCCAGCGGTCACTGGTGTCAGCGCAGAGCTCTGTTTGGACAAATTGGGTCAGCACCATGCCAGGCCCGGGAGCACGGTACTGTGCACCTGTCAGCAGCCATGGCCGCGAGAGCCCCCGGCTGGCCCCCAGGCCGGCCCCTGGCTAGTCCCCGGCTGGCCTCCGGCTGGCCCCCGGCTGGCCCCCGGCTGGCCCCTGGCTAGTCCCTGGCCGGCCCCTGGCTGGCCCCCGGCTGGCCCCTGGCTAGTCCCTGGCCGGCCCCTGGCTAGCCCCCGGCTGGCCCCCGGCTGGCCCCCGGCTGGCCCCTGGCTGGCCCCTGGCTAGCCCCCGGCTGGCCCCTGGCTG